AGGTGTATTAGTCTAATAGAGTAAAGACATTAAACCAATGATTTTATTGTATTTTGTATAGGTTCACTGAAAAAGAGGGCGTGGTCGTGGAGAAAACCCTTTGTTATTAGGAGTATATCAGAATGAGTAAGGTACAAAAAATTAATGTTTTAGTATTTGAAATTACAAATATTGGGGTCTTTTGAGTAGTAGTGAGCAAAATAATTTGAGAAGCACTATTACTATTTTAAATCGTTTATTCGACATGTTTCGGCGTACTTACGCCTTCATCAGAAAAGAATACATAAAGTAATTAGGGAGTAAGAATTTGAATGGTTTTCAGATTGGCCGACCCCACTTTTAGAGTTGGTAGGTCTGCAGTTGTTCAGCATATGTTATTAAGAGTTCTCCAAGCTACTGCTTTAGGTATACTCTTTCTTTGCGAATCCAGAACGCTAAAGGGGYTGTCTAACTCAGGAAAAAGTATCAAATGGTTAGATTTAGGGCTGCCGAAAAGTTAAACAAAATAATAAACAATCAATATGAAAATAGCAAAATGATCTTCTTTCGCAAGAATTCTGTGTATTTCTTCTGTTTTCAGAATAAGTCCCATTCAGATTTATTCTCCCATTTCATTTATWTATATAATTCCTATTATCTGTATTTCTGAACTTCAAGAGGGAGTTTGGCTGGCAACCCTAATCACGCCCTCTTGAACCTYCCTCTTGTCTTTTACTTTTGACGAAATCATTTTTTTTATAAAAAAAGATTAATCTTGTGCGCTTTCAATCATTTCTATGATGGTTTGAAGTTTTGCTGTGCCTTTCCATGCCTAGAATGGCGCTTCTAATGAACCTGAAAATGACAAAAACGTTAAATTTAGGACAAGTTCTAATTCTTTTGAATACAGTCAACTCTCTCGTGAAAACGTAGTCGCTTACGACAGTTGGTCGCTTGCGAATATTTTTACTAAATTTATTAGTTTTTTTTTTCTGATAAAATTTATGCAAAAAAAAAAAGCATAAAACACAAGGCAAGTTCCTACATATCGCAGCAATCGGTATCTTTACCGTGCTATATATCAAAGGAATATTATCGCTTGTTCGACGTAGCAACAGTAACTAGGCAGGCAGGACAATTAATCGGGATCGGTCAGTTGTCACTCACTTCGAAGGCTTTGTAATAGTCTCCTTCACGGTTCCCAGCGCCATCTTGGAAGGTAGCGATGCCTTTACATTGAAGCGAGACAACCGTTGAGCTTGCTATTATAGATACCTGTGAATAATTGTCTGTAGGTGTGAAAGAAGGTTTCTATCGGTGCACGCTCAACGGATGTCTCACTTCGATGTAAAGGCACAGCTACCTTTCAAGATAACGCAGGGAACCGTGAAGAAGACGTATGGCACTGATGCTCTTTTGCGGTATCCAGTAATTGTTCGTTTTCCTGGGCGCGGTTTTACGGTGGTTTTATCTATCAGTTTGCCCCATTAACGCCCACTGTTTGTAAGGAAATGTTTGTCGATCTTCATTACAATACAAGTAGACTGTGTCAGGAAGTCTAGACTGCTTAAACCGCGTATTGCTGTCTAATTAGGACACTTTT